ATGTGCAGGTGAACCTCTGCCTGATGTGAAAGGATTTTTTGGTTCCTTGGATGGAGGTGAGGGAGTTTGGTGTAGGGGCAGGTGTAACACTTCCTGAGGTTGCAGGGAAAAGGTGCCAGGGGTGGTGGGGCTAGTGGGGAGTGTGTTCCTGATGTGGCCTCCTCTACATTGGTGAGACCAAGCGGAGGCTCGGAGACTGCTTTGTAGAGCACCTGCGCTCTGTTCGCAACAAACGACAATACCTTCCAGTCGCGAACCACTTCAACTCCCCCTCCCACTCCCTGGGTGACATGTCCATCCTGGGCCTCCTCCTGTGTCACAATGACGCCACCCCGGAAACTGCAGGAGCAGCACCTCATATTCCGTCTTGGGAGCCTACAACCCAATGGTCTCAATGTGGACTTTACCAGTTTCAAAATCTCCCCATCCCCCGCCCTCATCCCATGACCAACCCTCCCTCTCATCCCTGCCTCCTTGACATGACACAACCCCACCTATCCACTCCTACCACCACTGCCTACCTGCACTCACCTATCACCATCCCACCTACATTCCCCAGCCCCACCCCTCCTTTTTCTATTTATTTCAGAGCTCCCTGCCCCCTTCCCCATTTCTGAAGAAAGGTCCTGGCCCGAAACGTCAACTTTCCTGCTCCACTGATGCTGCCTGGCCTGCTGTGCTTCCCCCAGTTCCACAGCATCGGCAGTTCTTACTATCTCTGCAATTACCCAAATCTATCTTTGGCTGAGACCAACTAAATCATTGATGTTATAATATAACCATTGAACAAATTACTTCTCATTGCTTGTATTCGAGTTAATCATGGATTCAGCATCACCATTGGGAAATATCATGCCAGGTGATGATGAAAATGATACTTCAAAAACAAAATCTTATTTTGTTTGACTTACTGATGTTAGGGGTGTCAGGTTTCTCCATAAGAGTCGTTGGCATGTATTTTGTTAGTGCAGCACAAATACAGATGGTTCAAATAAAGCAAAGCAAGGTCATCTATTGCATCTCCCATGTCAATGCTTCGACATTCAAGCTAATGCATCAGTCATCAAGATGTGCAGTTGATAGATTCATTTTTTAAATATCTGTACATATTTATGGTAAGATGTGGTAAATTGGATCTTTAGTAGTATGATGGTTACTTATGGTTCAAACTATAATTCAGTAAATTAAAGGTGGCCATAATCCCAGAGAACCATAAGGCTACTGTCTCATTATAGAGAGATGACATGGTGATTTACCCTAAGGATCACCATGCCTCAGACAAGGAGAGGGGTTTGTAAAGAGTCCTTCATTCACGGCAACTTCAGCCGATTTAGCAAATGAGCCCATGGTATCATTCTGCATTGCAAACCAACCATGCAGCCAACTGTGCTACCTGCAACAGTCTGATGCATGAAATCTTGAATTCAGCCTAGTCAGTTATTCAACAACTGTAAGTAGACAAGTGGAACTCTGAACCAGAGGAATTAAAGTTCAAGACCAAGTTCTTGACTGATTTGGGAATGCAGGCCTCTCTGAAAGCTGCAATTCAGTATTTCTTAGTTGCATCACAGAACTGATCACTTTGACTAATGGCAGTCTCAATTTTTTCTTGGAGAGTAGGGAAAGAAAATAGTGTCTTGCCTTTCGTGAATTCAGGATGTCCCAAAGCAATTTTCATCCATTAAAGTACCTTCAAAGCACAGACACTTATGTGATGTGGCAAACATTGCAGCCAGTTCATGCACAGCAAGATTCCACAGCAGCAGTTAAATAAATGACCTGGTTTAGTGACTTATATTGAAGGATAAATGTTGACTAGAGCACTGGGAAGAATGTCCAACTTTTTCAATTGCTTTCATCCACTCAATAGGGCAAACTAGTGCCTTGACAGTGCTCGCTAAAGCTTTCTTTCCATTGTGGTGCCAATTTAGTGCTTGTTAATAGGCATTACTCCATATCTATGTAAACAAGATAGGGGTGTGTAGTGGGCAGATGGTTTCATTTGCAGAGATTTTAACTTACAGCACCTGCTCCAGGTCTCAAGTTTCAGCTGGTGACACAGTGCCTAAGTTAAAAAAAATCTCCACAGAAAATTGGTGGTGTGACAAATAGCTAGGAGGAAAGCTTTACACCACAAGACAGTATAGTCAGGGTGGTCAGATGGGCTGAACAGTGGCAAATGGAATTTAATTCTGAAGAGTGTGGGGTGATGCATTTTGGTTGAACTAACAAGGCAAGGGAGATCATGTTAAATGGTAAGAACCTAGGAAGTGCAGAGGATCACAGAGACCTTGGTGTACATGTCCAGAGATTCTTGAAGGTGACAGGACAGGTAGACAGCGTGGTTAAGAAGGCATGTGGGATACTGGGATTAACCAGCATGTTGCTCGGACTGGACCAATTCAGTAAGTAAGGGGCATAGTTTAGAGGGAAGAAGCAGGAGGTTTAGCAGTGATTTGAGGAACGATTCTTTTCACCGAGAGGGCTATGTGAACCTGGAACTCACTGCCTGAAAGAGTGGTAACCCTCATAACATTTAAGAACTATTAAAACACCATAGCATACGAGGCTACAGGCCAAGTGCTGGAAGATGGGATTTAAATAGATAGATGTTCGATAACCAGTGTGGATGTAACGGGCCAAAGGGCCAATTTTTTGTACTGTAAAGTCGGTATGACTCTATGACTCCGACAATTTAAAGGGGCCACAAAGTTGCTAGCACTATGTTGGGATTGCACTCCATTTCTACTTTGGAGCACACAACATTCAAAAACTTTGACTCAAGGTTTGGTAAACGCTGGTCTAACATCACATATTAAAGACCGCACAGTCCAACATGCACAACTGTTCCTTCTTACAGTGAGGACCCGGCATAATCTTGTGTCAAGTCTTGGTATGTGGAACCTAAACCTGCAATCCCACAATAATATCCTACCTGGAAATGCAGTTGCTATTAACTCAGAGTGCTGATAAAAATCTACATCTTGTATTTCCAGATTTCGAGATTAGCAAGTTTTGCTTTCTAGATGGAAAAGATCCTGTAAAGTTCCTACATGCAGAAGATGTAAAGCTGTTCCTTTCAGCATGTGAAACTTCTGTTTGCAATGCACTGAAGAAAGGTAAGTTTGTTGATTTGTGGAGCATGTATGTTATACAGAAGGAAAAGGGATCCTTCCAGACTTTCCACCTGAAATATCTGCCATGGAATCTGTGGGATTAGTGGTATTAGGATGGAATTTCTTGGGTGATGAAGTATTTGGAGCAGGAATTGCATAGAAGGACATAAGATGCAACTGAGGAAATTGCATTGCAGTTGAAGGACAACCAGCGAAGGAGATGAAGAAAACAATGAATTGGAAAATACTCTTGTGATTTTGGAAAGAATAAGGGCCATGCCGAATAGTTGCTGTGGCATAAATGAAATGTACCTTGTTGAAATGCTAGTGTGTTCATTCTTTGCACAGATTCTCCCTGGGGTACTTGTTATTTTCCTGAACGGTTGCTGCTGAAAAATGAGGAATGCCTAGCTAATTTTAATATTTGCGTTCGAGTTCTAAATCATGGAGTCCAACTGCAATCATGCAGCTTTATAACTATAAGCATAAAGAAAAAAAAAGGAAAGGCTCATATGACAAGGAGCTTTTCGGAATCACTGGGCTGTGAAGTGAAGTACTTTTGAAATGTTGGAATATTTGGAATATAAGAAACAAATAAATGTGAATTAAAGCGCAAGTTTTTTTTCTCTCCAAAGACATTCCTGCAGCTCTAGTAATACAACAAATGAGTCAGATAAAAGAAAGTCAACTTAAGGTGGCATTTGATGGGGATTCAGTATTGTTCTCAGATGAGACTGATACTGTATTCAACGAGAAAGGTCTGAATGAAGTTATCAAGTATGAGAAGGACATGGAGCATGTTCCTATTGGAGAGGTAAGATTTTAATTGTTTGATCAAAATTGTTACATAATATTTCAAATTTTACTTCAGTGCTTAACCATCTGTCTTCTGATTTACACCTTACATATCATCCTGAAGCAGCTTATCCAAACACCTGATATTAACAGGGTAACCTAACAACTGCAGTTCTTCAGGAGGGAATGGAACTGTCCAGTTGGGAGATTTTGTCTATTACATCAGTAGTAGTAGCTGGTACAAATCATAACCTTTCCACAAAAGGTTTATGCCTTGTCTTGGAGCTCTTTTGTTTTGTTTTTGTGCTGGTGTCTAATTTCAGACATGCCAACTGGGCTGTTTTTGAGCGGAGATGTGCAGTTCTCCACAGGATGTTGCGGGGGGACACAACAGGACAGATCATTCCACAACAATTACACATAGACTCTTCTTCACTTGTATGCTGTTTTGGAATAGCCATGCCTCCAAAAAGTATATTCTTTCACTGTTTCACTGGTGACAAGAAGTAGAGTGAACAGTGATGCAAATCAGCTTTGACCAACATCCCACAGTCAGTTAGGCAGTAAGTGGAGCAACTAATCTGGTTACATGAACATAAAACAAGAGCTGACTTCCAGCTTGCATTGTTAGTTTGTCGTGTACAGTATTTATTCAATCCCTAACATTTTTTTTCTTTACATGAATTTTGACAAATCTAAAAACTTTGTTTTGCATTTCCGGAATCACTAAGCTGTCAGGGAAATATTGTGGACTGAGATGCTCCTGTCGTAAAGGGGCAGTGTGCAATTAGTGTAAGTCAGGCTGCTGATGCATAGTCCATATTTTTGCTGAGCCTCCCCCTACCTCATCCAAAGAAGTTTGGGATAACTTTAGCAATTTGGGCAGTACAGCACCATTCATTGGATAATTGAAGCCTCTTTTAGCTCAAAAATGACTTCTGTGATTACACTGTCTTATTTGACAGGAATTGTATCATCTGCCACATTGGTAAAGGGGTTTGCACAGGGACACCTAACAGCTACTTGCATGATACAGCATGGGCAAAACATACAGTCAGTTAGTGTGCAATGTTGATTTGACAAAAGCACTGCCATTTCCAAATGTATGCTCCAGCCATTGTCTTATCTTAATCCATACTGCTGATGATGATATATGAAGGAGTGTCATTCTATCATAATTTACAGGAATCATTGACCCTTTTACAGCTTAGTTGCCACATTATTATGTTCTTGGTGACTGTTCCCATACAGGGGGCCCTGATTTACAAGTGGTCGTACTTAAGTATGTGATCCCATACCTGGTTTTAATTTTTAGATATCTAACATGCAACGTCTCCTGTATTTATGAACAGCTGCTTTCCATTGTCCTGCATTGTGCTCTGACTTGCAAACAAATCAACTTGAGAACAGACTCCAGAACAGAACTCGTTTGCAACCTAGAGATTGCCTGTACTTCTCTGTAATTTCAACCTACTGAGAGTGATCAAACCAGTACTTCAAGAAATTCTCCGAAACTATTTATTTGTAGACATTGTTAATCTAGTAGAACTTCCTTTTGGAATTGTATGTGACTGGGAGAATAAAGACAGGCCATAAGGAACAGAAAATGTTACTAATAGATTGAGAAGGAGACAGGGACTCAGCAGTTCGGTATTTAGGGAGCAGTTTTGTTCTCTGTGCTTTGACCATGATCACTGTTTGAGATATCTGTATTTCACTATAGAACTCATTGCTGAAATTTCTAAACAGCTACAGCCATCACCCCAACTTCCCTACCCAATGGTGCTATTAGTAAACCTACAACATGTGGCCTGCAGCAGTTTACAAAGCTCGCCACTCCCTCCTCCAGGACATTTAGGAATGGACAATAAATACTGGCCTTGCCAAATCTTGTGTACAAATTAAAAAAAACAGAGCATGCCATAGGCCACATTGCCTATGTCTGCCAAAGCATAGTGAATGTGAAGATTAATGCATCTCTCTTTATTCTTTTGTGAGAGTTGAGATTAATGGCTATCTCTAATTCACCTTGTGGTGGCAGCAGCATCAGTTCTCAATAAACCCAGCGCTACTCAGCTCAGTGTCTGAAGATATGAGATCGTATCTTCAATTTTGCCATTATGAAGGAGCAGCCCTTCCACTAACTATCAAGCAAGATGCTGAGAAGGAGGAAGACTGGCTGTAACAAAGACAGCCCCTTTCTGTCCAGGCTCTACACAATCAAGTATTAATGAACTATACCAGGGACATCAACCCTAACTTCCCATTTATTAAAACTCACATATTCTTCCCACTATCATGACCATCACATTATCCTTTTCCCAATAGAGCAAATACAAAAGCCAGCACAAATTATGCATTCTAAACTAAATTTATAAATGCTGTTTGTGTATGTTATGTCGCAGTTAAAAATAATTACTCCTGTGCATTTCTTACTGTTTACCATGCATCATTACCATTCCTAGTACTTCCACAATGTAATTTATAAAGGCTCTGGAATAATGGATGGATATTACCGACATCCAATAGAGTAGTCTTTGAAGAATGACTTTGAACATCGTGACGATGACCAACTTCAGACTGCACCGTTCTGCCTGCGCTACAGAGGTTTGAGTTAACTGGCTGTCAGACAGCAGGAAAAGCACTGGTGGAGTGGCAGGATTAGCAAATAGATGCAGTCATCCTGAGGTTAGACAAGTTTGTATTCTAAGGAGGCATTGCCGTCCACCACCACCACCGCTGCGCCCCCCCCCCCCCCCCCCCCCCCCCCCCCCCCCAACCCCCCCCAGCCACCCGCCAGGAGTTGTTTGTGTGTTTTTGTTTTTTTTTTCTGTGT